GCTGGAAAGATGTTATGTGATGGTGAGGTATGGGAGCTGTGCGCCGAGTGGCGGCGCACGAGCTACGTAAGTATGATGCAATTGCTGGGAAACGAATGGGAGGCGCGCCCCAAAAAAAAATCGCATCTCTCAAAATAGGAGGACACCGCAAGCGCCAGTCGTTTTGCTTCCGCATCACGCGGTCGCTTGCACCACTCCGATGCCGCTGGGTGTCACACTTGGGGCAACGCCACCGGCAGCAACAACTTTTTTAACACACGCGCCGCGGCCAGTCACTGCTTCCGATCGGTTGTGTGTGTAAAGTTTACTCGTGCGCAACGTCTCGCGGCGATCACTCGCCCAACGTGTGGAGCCATGGTTGGCGAGTACCGCTCCGCCAGCTCCATTTGCGTCAACTGCTGACGCTGCCACCCCGCGGGCCGTGTCCCACCGCCGGCAGCAGACCCGCGCGTCACGGTGCAAGTGTGGCCCTTGCCCACCATGCCAGACGCGCATTCACTACAGAGTCCGCAGTCCACTTCCCTATTCGCGAAACACAAAGCCTAGTAGGGGCTGTGGACGCGTCACATCCACCCCCCACAGGGCCCCCTTCGTCTATCCCGCCAGAGTTGTCAACGCGTTGTCGCGAACCTCATCGTTTTATCGCCAGTGCATGACCTTGGCGGTTGCGTTGCTGACGCCCCGAACTTTTCATATCGACGCAGGCAGCGGCGTCTTTGCCAACGATGGGCAAGCAGCTGATGGTAATCTGTCCTGTGCTACGAGCGAACGGGGTGTGAAACGAAAGCTGGTCAGTGGCAGGAATTGATCAAAGCGCAATGCGAGCTGGGCAGCGTCCACGCAGGATTCGCAAGATTGGGGGAGAAATTGAAGAAACTTGTCAGGTGCTCACCGCGCGCCTCCGAAGAGAACGAACGGCTCGCATGCCGAAAGAGAAGAGGGACAGGAAGAAGATGGGGACGGCGTTTATATACCCTGCTGGTCGTCCTAAAAAGGCTGGGTGTCAAACCTTCATTTATCGATATTTTATTGTATGGCGGCGGGGGAGCATTTGCGCGACAGTGACTAAGACCACTCCGAGCATCGTCAAATTGTGTACGAGTCTCGTAGATTGATTGCAGATGCAGTCGCACGCAATGCCAGAGAGCTGTATCAGTACGCTTACTTCCGTCACTTCGGAAACATGTATGTACATGCAGTGAACTGCGGAAGTCTAGTTCCAGGTAGGACACCTCTCGCTTCGTGCAGGGGATAAAACCTGACGTTTATACATGAGCGTTGAGTGCAAGTCACACCCAAATCGGACACGAACGCGTTATGCTGCACTTGCGCACAGCAGTCACCAAACCCACAACTATCCAGCGAAATGCTTTCATGCGTTGTCAGGGTTTGACATCAAACTCCACAGCTGCTGTTCCAACGTTACGTCTGCTATGCGCTCGACAGACGGTTTTTGCGGTAGTGCAGATTTCAGTGCCCCTTCAAGAAACTGAGTTAACCTCACCGCTGGAAATAAGGCGCAGTCTCTGCAACCCTATAGCCCATGTTCTAGGAACAGTTCGCCGGATTTAAGTTTTTGTGTTTCCATAGCTTATCCCTTTGTGTTTTACAATGTCCCCTTTCGCTTCCGGGGGGAGGACTGCCCTAATTTCCTATCATTCAACACGCTTTCTCTGCCAATGTGTCAACTATCAGTGACAGGAGGCATCGAAAAGCTGTAATATAATCAAGTTACTAAACAAACCCATCATCAGTTAAGGAACAACGGCGATTAAAAACGCAATCAGTAATCACCTTACGGGATTTCACAAGGCATTTCACAAGGCATGCAAAGCCTGATAAACAAAATAAGAGTGTGTGAAAGTGGCTCGGCGTGCCTGACTAGTTAGATTGCCCATTCTGCGAGAGAAGCTTCAAAACAAACAACCCCAGCCCGCCAACTACAGCGGAGGCACCCATCATGACATTGTTCTTCACCCCATCGCGATTTCGTCGACTCGCCGATGTCCTTCTACTTGACGAGATGGATGGCGACAAATCACGTTTGGGCGGATCTCTCCCAAACGACAGTTCAGACGCCCTCCGGACATCTTCCATAGCCATCCTATGCTCCATCGCCATCGTAAGCTTTTCAGCTGAGAAACGTTCCTCTACTTGTCTAAGCTTTTCTTCTAGTGTCTGCTTTTCCTGCAGACTACGTGCTTTGGCTGCCGAGATTTCCTCGACCTGACCCCGGAGCCTGCTTATCTCGACCTCTGCGCTTGTGAATTTTCCCTCGAAAGCTCTCAAACGGTCCGCTTGGCTCTGAAGCTCTAATATTCTTTGCCGATCCTCACTCGTTCTGCTCTCATGCCGCATTAATTTGTCTTCCGCATCTCTGGAAGCAGATTTCGCAGCATCCAACGACGATGACAGCTCTCGATTGAGGGACTCTAGGGTAGTAATCCGCTCGTTTTGGAATTTTCCCTCTGAGCGAGACATTTCAAGCCGCCTCTCGGCTGTTTCCTTGTCAACTGTGAGCTTGCTCTGGTCACTTTCCATACTGCAGATGCGGGTATTCAACGCAGCTACGCTTTGACTTGCAGATGCCATTTGATCTGTCATTTCCGCAATTCTCGACTCCAAGGCAACAATGTCTTCGAGCTTTGCTTGCACTTCGTTCTCTGCTTCAAGCACCCGCCCTTCAGCTTCTTCGCCGAATTCCTCGATTTGGGCATATATGTTTCGCCCTTGGTCCCTCAATCCTTCTGCTTCCTGTTCCGCTTGATCGGCCCGAAGAGTTTGCTCATTGACTGCCCATTCAAGCTCGGTCATCTCGTTTGCGACTTTGGTAAGTTCCTCTTCAAGATCTTTTGATCTCGATTCTGCTTCTTCAGCATGACGAAGCGATGCTTCAAGATCGACCACAAGGGCCTCATTCGCCTCGTCCATTTCTTTCATTTGTTTAGCCAATTCGCCATTAGTAGAAGACAGCTCGTCTTTCTCAAGTAGCAATTCATTTCTTTCCGCTTCGAGATCTTCCCTGGTTGCCCGACTATCCGCGGTTAGAGTCTGGAGCTCCTTTTCCAGACCAGTAATTGCGTCTTTCAGAGAACCAATCTCAGATTCATTGTTCGAAATTGTTTGTTGCCGTGATTTCACATCCTCCTGGCTTTGTGCTAGTTTCGCGGCCTTGTCCGCAATCTCGGATCGCAGAACAAGAAGGGCTTCTTCCTGCTTGCGTTCTTCATGGATGAAATTCCCTTGCATCACTTCCAAAGCCTTTTCCTTCTCGGCCATTTCTGAAAGCAGCACAGACCTGGATTCCTCCATCTCAAGAACTAATCCCTCTACAGTTTCGAGTCTCGCTTGCAAGTCTGCTGCCTTTCCGTCCACCGCTTCCTTTTCGTTTTCCAACACTTCCAAGGACTGTTGAGTAGCACGACATTCAGATGAAATCTTGTCAGCATCTTCCTGCTTTTCGCGAAGCTGAGTTTGGAGGCGCTCCGCCTCCAGTACATATTCATTAGCCTCTCTCTTGGCGACTGAAAATTCATCTTTTGTGCAGTTGAGTGTGTTCTCGAGGGTTTTTTCTGCCTCTTTTAGTTCATCAATAGTAGCTTTGCGATTTTCGGCGCACTCCAATGCCGATTTCTTCTCAGACTGCTCACGCTCGATTGAAGCCTTTGAAGTTTCAAGCTCTTTCTCCAACATAATTCTCTTGGCTTCTAGATTGCTTACATGGGTTTCCGCGTCAGTCAGTGACGACTTTGTGTTGTCAAAAGCCCTCCGCCATTCGTCAGCATCACTTGCAGCGCTATCTCTTTGCTGCTCGGTCTCCTCGATTCTCTTGGACAGGGAAGCAATCGATACTTTTGCCTTATCAAAATCTTCGGATATTGACTTGAATTCGTTTTCCAACTCTTCAATTGCGGAAGTTTGGGCCTCTGTCTTCACCTGTAGGGACTGAACGTTTTCGTCGCGTTCAGTGATCTTCACCTCCAACGCCGAGCACTTTCCCATGCTTTCCGTCAACGAAATTTCAGCACACTCAAGCTTTGCAGTAACATCTGATGCATGATTTCTTGACTTCTCCAATTCGGTACGCCAACTGTCCTTTTCTGCGACCGCTGCATCTAGATTTGCCGCTGCTTGCGAACTCGTCTCTTCCAACAGAACCTTTTCACTCTCCAAGGAAGATATTTGTCCGCGCAAGTCATCGCAGAGACCTTTAGATGTCATGTTTTCTTCCTCCATAATTTGCATCTGCTTTACAGCATCATCACGGGCTTGGATAAGCGCGGCGGCTTCCTGGACTGCGGAAGTCTCCCGAGAGCGAATGCCATCCAATTCGCTTGTCAAATCCCGTATCTGCCCTTCTTGCGATGCAAGAGTTGTTGCCATAGTTTTTACAGACTCTTGTGCTTCAGCAGCTTCGTTCCTTGCTGCCTCCAGGAGAACAACTGTTTGATCTTTTTCTTCCTCGGCGCGCCGGAGGTCCGCAGTTATAGATGCAATACGCTTTGCGGTCTCAACACTCTTCGACTGAACCTCAGACGATTCCTGAGCAGATTCTGTGAGCACATTCTCCATTTCCGAAAGCTGTGTCTTTTGCTTGTCTACGAGCCGATCAAGCTCCTCTACTCTGGCTGCGCGGACAGCAATGGATTCCTTTTCAGTAGTTTCAGCGGTGAGCTTGCCTTGCAAAGTTTCAACCAGGGTAGAAGTTTCCGATAAAGACTCTGAGAGCGACTTAACTTCATCTTCCGACTTCTTTAAATTCTCCTCAGCAGTGTTCAGACTGACCTGCAATGCCGCGACGCTATTTTCATATTCTTCGATTTGTCGTTCATTTTCGGCACATTTCGCGCGCAGAGAGTCGTTGTCTTGCCCAGAGGAATCGAGCTCCGACTCTAAACGTTTGCAGTTGACTTGAAGATGCCCTATCTGTGTATGGCGCTCTTCGCTCTCCCTTTCTGTGGCCACAAGACTATCACTCGTTTTGGAAAGGTTCTCGTCAACCTGGGAAAGCTTTTCGTTGAGGCGCCGTACTTCGGTTTTTGAGTCCTCGATCGCAAACTCAGCGTCATGTGCCCTCCGCTCCGCATCCCGAGAAGTGGCCTGCAGTTCCACGATTCGACCGCGAAGTTCATGCAATTCGCTTTTGAGCTCATCTTCAGCGTGCTTGGCGGCAGCCTTAAGGTCGGCAATTTTCGCGCTGGACCTATCCAAATGCCACTTGGAATCTTCCACATCCTGACGAGCGGCTTCCATTTTCAAGTTGAGACTTTTCAGCTCTCGCTCTTTGGTGGTGAGAGAGTCTTGAGCCTGATCAAGCCGCATGCTTAGATCTCGGCGTTCCTTGGTCCAAAGTAGCTTTGCGTTCCCGTTCTCTTCCCTCGCGCTTTCAACTTTGGCTTCAAGTGTTTCTAAATCTCTCGTCTTGGAGGAGTCGAGCTCACCTTTTTCCTTTTCGAACTTTTGGCGCGCTCTCTCAAGTTCTCTTGTCACGGTCTCTAGAGACTTTTTCGTGGATTCGAGATCCGCTTCGGACACTTTGGACAGCTCCTTTGCAAGCTCCTTTCCCTTTTCTTCGGCTTCGGTGACCTGACGTCGAGCTTCGCTCAAATCGCGTTCCAAAACAAGGGCCTCTGTTCGAGCGTCATCGAACTTGGCTTGCGCACGATCAGCGAGCTTCTCTGCTGCCCTAAGCTCGTCAGTACGCAAGGACAATTGCCGCTCGAGCTCAGATACTCTGGCCGCAGCATCGCTGCCTTCCCCTTTCGCCGACTCTAAACCTTTCTCCAGTGCTCTGACTTCGCGCTGCATGCGAGCCATCTCACTCTCGGTGTGATCAAGCTTGAGCTTGACAGAGTTGAGCTCACTCTGGCGCTCGGCAGCGACACCTTCTGCACGCTCGAGAGATTCGTAGGCTTTCACGCTCTTCTGCTCCTCCGCACGTAGAGTATCCTCAAGCTTTTGAATCTGCTTTGCTGTGCGATCGATTGTCTTTTGAAAGCCCTTGGCCTCATTTTCGCTATCAGCTAGTTCTTTTTGGGTCTTTTCGAGCTTTTTCTGAAGCACCCCAATCTCTCTAGCCTTCCGGAGCATGGAGCTCTCCGCTGCCTTCTCTCTCTGTATAAGCTCCTTGACGCTGTTCTGATCGCCCTTCTCGAGTTCTTTCTTAAAAATGACAGCCTCCCTGCTCTTGGCAGAAACCTCCCCTTTCAGTAATCGAATCTCCTCTTGCAGCTTGCTGACAGCTTTTGCGGCGCCATTTGCCCTGTTGCTTTCCTTGCCGAGAGCAGCGTTCTTCTCCTCAAGGTCCTCCTTCAACTTTTCAATCTCTTTGTGCACCTTATCGACGTCAACCGCGTTTTTTTTGGCGAGTTCGGTACGCAAAACCTCACGCTCAGTAGCCATTTCCTGAAAGGCGCGCTTGAAGCTATCGGAGACATCCGTGCTGAGAGCGCTGGACGCATTGCCAAACGGGGAGGGCCCCGACTCCGCTTCAAAGATCAGTGAGCGCGCCGCTGCCGGCCTGTGGATGAGTTGCGAAGGATCGTCATCCGCAACTGGCTTCTCGCGACGGCGTGCATTTGAAGGCGGTGGCGGCGGGGGCGGCAGCGTGGCGGAGCGATCACTGTGATCGGCGGCGGAGGCCGAGGAGACGCGGGACATGGGCGGCGGCGGAGGCGGCGGCGGCGGGAGCGGCGGCGGGAGCGGAGAGGCAGTGTTCGACGAGGAGCGGGAGCGAGCCACGCGCGGCGGCGAGGGCGTGGAGGCGTGGTGGGGGTCGTGTTCTTGCCAGGAAG